ATAGCAGCTACTGCTTAGTCTATGGGGAAAGCTTTGCTACTTCTTTTCTGTGCAAGAGAGAAACCCAGCAAAAGAAGCAAAGGCTTGTTGCCTTTACAAGACTGCAGCAAAGCTCTGTGCCGGGCAAAGGTGGTGTGGATGTGTAGTATTGACTTTTTGAAGATAATCATGAGAACATTTTAACATTACTTGCCTTATAGGTTAGAAAAAGTGTGGATATCACTCTTCTGTAAATAACGATCGTTAAATTTTTTTTTCTTCATAATTTTCCCAATCACCCATTTCACAAAATTCTGAATATGCAATTATTTATTATGACATGTTACTGCAACTAGGGTTCCCATTTCAGGGGAAAAAAAAAAAAAAAGTTTAATTCTACACATAAGAACAAGATGAAATATCTAAGTAAGTTGTTATTTAAATGTGTTTTTTTTTTTTTTTCCTGGAAAATAAATGAAAACTATAAAAAATAAATTGACTTGTGAACTTTATTGCTAACCTCTTAAAATTTTCCCAAGTTTCTGGAAAGCTTAATTGCATGTTTAGGGGTCCCTGGTGGCATGGTGGATAAGGCATTTGGCTGCTAACCAGAAGGTCAACAGTTCAAGCCAACCAGCTGCTCAGTGGAAGGAAGTTGGGGAAAACTACTTCCATAGATTTACAGCCATGGAAACCCAATGGGGGTCCCTATGGTCTGAATCGACTAGATGACAGTGAGTTTGGTTTGGTTTCATAATTGCATGTTTAGGGTGGTTATGGTGGGCAAAGCTGGCACAATCCAAGGGTTTCAGAGTTAGATAAATCCCAGCTCCATAATTTAACTATAAACCAAAAAAATGTGTGTGTAATTTAACTATACAACTGAGCCATTGACTCGATAATTCTTCATTTCCTTATCTGACAAAAAAAAAAATAGGGTTAATGTCAACTATCTCATAAAGAGGAGCTCTGGTGTCATAGTGGTTAAGGCATTTGGCTCCTAACTAAAACGTGGAGGGTTCAAATCCCCAGCCCCTCAGCAGAAGTAAGATGCAGCAGTCTGCATCTGTAAAGATTTACAGGCTTGGGGCAGTTCTGACTCAATGGCACATAACAACAACAACAGCTAACCAAAAGATTGTTGTTGTTGTTATGTGCCATCAAGTTGGACCCGACTCACAGCGACCCCTCCTTGTGTTTCTGAGGAGGTATCACTATGAGAGTAGATTGCCCAACCTTCCTTCCAAGGAGTGGCTGGTGGGTTTGAACCGCCAGCCTTTCTGGTTAGCAGTCAAGCACCTTAGGCACTATGCTACCAGAGCTCCCAACCAAAAGACAGTCAATTCCAATTCACCCAGTGGCAATGCAGAAGAAAGGCCTGGCAATCTGCTTCCATAAAGATTACAACCAAGAAAATTCTACAGAGCAATTCTACCTACTAACACATGAGATCTCCATGAGTCAGAATCACCTTAGCCACAATGGGTTTGGTTTTGGTTTTTAGATCATAGCATCACTTAGAAGATTAAATGAGAATATTTATAAGTTCCTAACAATGCCTACATAGTCCATACCAAAAACCAAGCCAAACTCACTGCCATCCAGTTGATTCAGACCCATAGCAACCCCCACTGGGTTTCCAAGGCTGTAAATCTTTATGGAAGCAGACAGTGCCATCTTCCACAGAGCAGCTGTTGTTTGAACCACTCCCCTTTCAGTTAGTGGCCAAATGCCTTAACCACTACACCACCAAAGCACCTTGTATTCAATAAACAATCCTTTCCTGTTCTTATCTCATGGTGAATTGGGATCGGGAGAAGCCAGAAAACTTTAAGGCCCTTCCTCCTTGTTGACAATACCAAGTGCTCATCATAGGCCACAACCCAGGCTATATGCTTAATGGCAATGTCACATTTCTACTCCCAAAGACTGCTGCTACAGGAGTGTCCCTACAGGGTTTGATTTTATTTGTTTTTGGTTTGGGGAGTCACAGACATGCAAGAGGGATAGCAAGGAGGACGGTCCTATTAAGGCAGGTAGGTGCTCAACCTCAAAAGCCTCCACTTCAAAGCTTCTTAAACTTTAATGAGTAGCGATGTAATATAATACGGAAAGTTGTATGGAGGGAGAGAGCCCCGTTGTAATGTATAGGAGTTAAGACCATGGATTCCAGAAACAGAAGGGGCAGTATATTATTTAACTTCTTAGAATTTCAATTTTCTAAATCTATAAAGGGAGAATAATACTTTCTAGATAGAGTTGTTGGGGTGATTAAATAAAACTAAAACTATTTGCCAGAATGTGGTACATATAACTGTTAATAAACTATCCCGCTAGTACATATAAACTCTTAAACCATCCCACGATCAAGCATCTGAGCCCAGGAGGGGAGTGGAGTAGTGGAAAGCAGCGTTAGGCGGTCAGGGGAGGGAAGGAATTGCTTTCTGCGCCCCCGAGTTTCCTCCCAAGAAACCGCAGCATTTCCCACTCCTGTCTCTCACATGTTCGAGAAAGGAGACCGGATGAAGGGTCCTAGGAGCTTCATTCTTGAGTTCCCAAAGTCCTTCTCGCTTTGGGATAAGTGGCTCCCCTCCAATTCGAGACCACCGAGGGCGCATCTGGGCTCAGAGAGACCAATCTGGCCAGTAGGAATGAGATCTTACATCTGTGGGGCGGCTCAGAGAATCATGCAGCGGCCTTGTCCAGCCTGGACCTGCTGAGGGAGCTGTTTGAGGAGGTCACCCTGGAGACCGGAGGCGGAGCCCCGAGGGCATACACCAGTAACCGCAGACTAAAGGGGGCCTTTGGTAGGTGAGAGCCCGCGCAGCGCTCCAGTGCACGCAGGGAACTAGCCGCGGATTCAGAAGGCCCCCAGTGGAGCCACGCCCACTGTGCTGCGGTGTGTAGGTGAGGGCACTGTCTTGGCAGTGCAACCCGGCTGGAAGGGTGGGAATGGGAGACCATGCCCAACTCTGGGGTTGCAGAGGCTGGGACGGGGAGCGACCCTGAACTGAGGTGGTCTGCCTTGGCCCTAACCCACTCGCTGCTTTACTTCTCCATCTAAAAAATAAGAAAAAGTGGTCCCAAATTTGAGAACTGCAGGTGATCCCCGGCCTTTGGCGTCCCTGCCAGCACGCATGTGTGGGCTCAAAGGATGATGATGCCTAATGCCAGGCCAGTGTGCTCTTGCAGCCAGCAGTGAGAGTTCTAAGCCCTCTTCTTCTTGCCCAGCCGGGCCCTGCAAGGCTGCCTCACTCCCTAGGTTCCTCCAGGTTCCTACTCTGGCGTTTCTTGTTGGGTATTGGGAGAAAGGAGGAGGGGGGTGTGGAGCTGCTTTGGCGATGGTTAGGAGGTCGATGTCTCAGGGACTTTGGAGCACAACCTGAATATCCTACTTATTCAGGCTCAGTGTGTCTCTCTTCACCCTCTTCATCGACTAGGTAGCTGCACACATTCTCATATACACAGGTACACACGGGCACGTACTCATACCTATACAGGCATATACTCTTACCACAGGCATACTCACATACAGAGATGCTCAAACACAAACTGATTCACACAGATATTCACACAAGCAGACACACAGAGACATATAGTCACTCACACAGACACTCCTACACACAGGAATAGCAAGACACATACGCACAGGCACACACTCATATGCACACACATACACAAAGATGCTCACACTCACAGAGACACACAAACACTATCCCCCCTCTGGAACACACATCTGCTGCCCCATTTGTGTGTCCTGCTGTACCTTTAGGAGCTCTGGTGGCATAGTGCCTAAGGCAGTTGACTGCTAACCAGAAGGCTGGTGGTTCAAAGCCACCAGCCACTCCTTGGAAGGAAGGTTAGGCAATCTACTTCCGTGGTGATACCACCTCGGAAACCCAAAGAAGGGTTGCTATGAGTCGGATCCAACTCCACGGCAGTGAGTTTGGTTTTTGATTTGGTTTGCTGTACTGTTTGCCTCTTTCTGCCCAAACACTGGAGTCCCTGGGTAATGTAGCAGCTTAGATGCTAGCTGAAAGGTTGTAGGTTCATGTCCACCCAGAGGCACCTTGGAAGAAAGACATGGTGATCTACTTCTGAAAAATCAGCCATTGAAAATCCTGTGGAGCACAGTTCTACTCTGACACATATGGTGCACCATAAGTTGCAATTGACTTGATGGCCACTGGATTCTTTCTGCCAAGACACTGATCACACTATTGTGTTCTTGTCTCCTCTACCCAGTACTCAATTGCCAGCTCCTTGAGAGCAGGGATTGTGTGTTTTCCTACTTACCATAGTGTCTCCTTGTTAGGAATTTCAGATTTACAGATTATAAAATAATCTAAACAAATGTCTCAATTTGTATATAGGCAGAAAGGGCATTAGAATTACATACTCTTACTTGTAGGGAAAATCCTTTAGGAAAAACATTTAACTTAATTTTTAAAGCAACAGCAACAAAAACAAATGTTAATTACTAAAAATCTTTATCAATATTAGATATTAGGGAGCCAATACAAATTTTGTTTTCTGTTATGGGATAACATCTATCTTTTCTAAATTACTTTCTCCATCTTCTCCATTTAAATATTTTTGCTACAGATTAATATCCGCCTAGTGCCTAAGGCACTTAACTGCTAACCAGAAGGCTGGCGGTTCAAACCCACCAGCCACTCCTCGTAAGGAAGGTTGGGCAATCTGCTTCTGTAGTGATACTGCTTCGGCAACCCAAGGAGGGGTCGCTATGAGTCGGGGCCAACTCGACGGCACATAACAACAACATGTGAATTAAGTATATAATTGCTTAAATAGAAGTTATCAGTTAATGTATTTCCAGTTACATTGACCAAAATAACATCACTGTAAATCATTCTTGAGGAAACTCAACTTCCACATTCAAAAATGGTCAGAAAAGTGTGTGCGCTTGTGTTTCGTTTAGAAATTAATCTCTGTTATACTAACTAAAATCTTTTCATATCTTTCTGTTACTATTTTACAAAAATCATCCGTAGGTTGTGATGATGACAGATGTTGCCAAAGACAGAGAAACCCGTTCATCAAAGAAAAGAGGCAGTGAGTCTTCTCTAAGTAGTCATGAATTCCAGCAGAAGGAACTTCATGGACACACCAAAAAGTGAGTAACTGAATGTCTGGTGACTGATGCACAATTACTTTATAAACAGCTTCATAATGTTTATGGGAGAGGTGGGGAGAGATCATTTCCTTTGGGACATAAAAATGGAGAAAATGAACAGATTCAGGTCATGCTTTGGAACTATATTGAAAAACAGAGAAAGAGAAAATGTAAATGTTATCTTGATCCTAGCAGCATTTTCACTATTTCAAAGACCACAAAAAATAAACAAATAAACGCACCTAATCAAAAGAAACATCATATACAATGTAGACCAGCTACTCTTTATGTGTTTCTTGAATTAGTCTCCTTAATATTATACAGTTTTTGCATTTTTTGTAATAAGTATATACCTATACATTTACCTTTATTTCATACAAATTGTGTAATATATTTTCAAAGTCTTTGTTCATAATCTTTTAAATGGCTACATATTTTATCAATTTATAATTCATGAGTGAACTCACCCTTCCACAATTATTGGGCTTTTTAAGTGTCTTTCCACTAGTTGGCTGGTTGATTTTATTTATATTAAATAATTAAATCTCTGCTTGGTTGCTTCCCAAAAGTATAATGAATTGGTAGGTCAAAAGGTTGTAAATATATTTCTGTGGCTCTTGCTATATATGGCATTCAGACTCCTAAAGAGATGAATCTATTTTTAATACTTTCATGGCACTTCTTTTTGACTGCCCTAGTGAGAAGAAAAAATTCTCTACACAGAGGGCAATTAACTTATATAAAAGACTTTCCTTCTTAATAGTTTCCATGGGATTCAAGGATGGGGTATCTTAATCCCTGTGGTTGGGAAGCAGAAGGTGGTGTTTCCCGTGGAACAGAGATTGGAAACAACTAAATATATATTATTCTTGTTGTTAGATGCCATCTAGTCACCTCCAACTAATAGCGACCCTACGTACAACAGAACGAAACACTGCCCAGTCCTGTGCCAGCCTCACAATGCTTGCTATACTTGGGCCCATCATTGCAGCCATTGTGTCAATCCATCTCTTTGAGGGCCTTCCCCCTTTTCAATGGCCCTCCACTTTACCAAGCATGATATCCTTCTCCAGGGAATGGTCCTTTCTGACACCATGACCAAAGTAGGTGAGATGAAGTCTGGCCATTCTCACTGCCAAGAGCCTTCCTGCTGCACTTCTTCCAGGACAGATTTGTTAGTTCTTCTGGCAGCCGATGTTACTTTCAATATTCTTCTCCAACACCACAACTCAAAAGCATCAATTCTTCTTCAGTGATCCTTATTCATTGTCTAGCTTTTACATGCATATGAGGCAATTGAAAATACCATGGCTTGGGTTAGGCAGTTTGCCCAGTGCAATAAGTCATCTGATTTCTTGATAGCTGCTTCCAAGCGTGTTGATTATGGAACCAACTAATATAAAATCTTTTGACAACTTCAGTCTTTTCTCCATTTATTGTGATGCTGCTTATTGATCCAGTTGTGAGGATTTTTGTTTTCCTTATGTTGAGATGTAATCCGTACTGCAGACTGTAGTCTTTCATACTCATCGGTAAATGCTTCAAGTCTTCTCCATTTTCAGCAAGCAAAGTTGTGCTGTCTTCATATGGCAGGTTGTTAATGAGTCTTCCTCCAATCCTGATGCCACATTCTTCTTCAGTTAGTACAGCTTTTCAGATTATTTGCTTAGCATACAGGTTGAATAAGTATGGGGAAAGGATCCAACCCTGACACACTCCCTGCTTGGTTTTAAACCATGCAGTATCCCCTTGTTCTGTTTCAACAAAAGCCTCCTGGCCTATGTACAGGTTCCTCATGAGCACAGTTCCGGAATTCCCTTTCTTCTGAATGTTCTCTGTAATTTGTTATGATCCACACAGTCGAATGCTTTTGCATAATCAATTAAACATAAGTAAGCATCATTCTGGTATTCTTCATTTTCACCCAAGATCTATTTGACTTCAGCAATGATATCCCTCATTCCACAATGTCTTCTGAATCCAGTTTGCATTTCTGGAAGTTCTCTGTCAATATACTACTGCAACCATTTTTTAATTATCTTCAGCATTATATTACTTGCATATAATATTAGTGATATTGTTCAATAATTTCCACATTCTGTGGGATCACTTTTCTTTGGAATGGGTACAAATAGGGATCTCTTCCAGTCAGCTGGCAAGTAAGTGGCTGTCTTCCAAATTTCTTGGCATAGATGAGCTCAGCTTCCATTTATTGAAGCATCTCAGTGGGTATTCTGTGAATTCCTGGAGCCTTGTTTTTTGTCAATTCCTTCACTGCAGCTTCAACGTCTTCCTACAGTACCATTGGTTCTTGATCATATGCCACCTCCTGAAATGGATGAACATTGACCAATTTTTTTTGGTACAGTGACTCTGTATTCTTTCCATCTTCTTTTGATGTTTCCTGCATCATTCAATATTTTACCTATAGAATCTTTCAGTATTGCAACTCGAGGCTTGAATTTTTTCTTCAGTTCTTTCAGCTTGAGAAATGTCAAGTGTGTTCTTCCCTTTTGTTTTTCTAACTCTTAGTCTTTTCACATTTCATTATAATAATTGACTTTGTTCTTGAGCTGCTCTTTGAAATCTTCTGTTCAGCTCTTTTATCTTGTCATTTCTTCCATTTGCTTTAGCTTCTCTCCATTCAGGGGCAAGTTCCAGGGTCTCTTCTGACATCCATTTTGGTCTTTTCTTTCTTTCCTGTCTTTTTAATGACCTTTTGCTTTCTTCATGTGTGATGTTCTTAATGCCATCCCACAATTGGTTTTTGGTCATTGGTGTTCAATGCATCAAATCTGTTCTTCAGATGGTCTCTAAATTCATTGTTGTTATTTGCCGTTGAGTCAGACCCAACTCATAGCCATCCCCTCCTTGAGTTTCCAAGATGGTCTCACTATGGAAGTAGATTGCCCAACCTTCCTTCCGAGGAGTGGCTGGTGGGTTTGAACCACCAGCCTTCTGGTTAGCAGTCAAATGCCTTAGGCACTATGCTACCTGAAATCAAACTCTCTATTCCCAGAGTTTTTTTAATGCATTTATTAATAAATGCAGTTTCCAACCCTGGAAGTTTGTGGATTATAAATAGACTCTCCCTCTGTTACTGATGGGAAATTATATGAATGAGTAGGAACCCCAGCATATATCAAAACTATAGCTGGGAGAATAATTAACCTTGGTAAATTTTTTGCTTCTGACTCTAAATCAATCTTCTGCTGTTTACAGTATTTAAAAGTTATTTTTAAAATTATTTAAAAATAATTGTTAGCATCAATTCAACTTACTTCTTCAAGAAAAAATATATATAACAATCTGACATAAATCATATTCTCATTATTTCAAAATAATATGCTCTCACCCAAAGGCTAAACTATCATCCTCATTTGCATAATTTTCGTTTACCTCTTGCTTCTCAAAAACAAATTGGACTGTCTTATAAAATCAGTTTGATCAAATTTGAAGAATAACATATTGCTGTTTTTCAACTTAATGTTGATGAAGTATAAATATAAACGTAATAAGAATATAGGCAGTTCCCAGATTACAAATGTTTAATTTACAGACAGTTTGTACTTCTCCTTTAATGTTATGTAAAGTTGCCCTCACTTTGAAACTACAAGGAACTCTGGTGGCATAGTGCCTAAGACATTTGACTGCTAAACCCACCAGCCACTCCATTGAAGACTGGGCAATCTACTTCCATAAAGATTTACCACCTCAGAAACCCAATGGGGATCACTATAAGTGAGAATTGACTTGATGGCAGTGAGTTTTGGTGAGAATTTTGAAACTGTTGAACCAACCCCTACTTGTAACAAGTTCTTCATCACAATCACTTTCCCTTGCTGCAATGTACAGCTTTTAAATTCATTGAAAAGACTTCAAGCCTTTTCTTACACTAAAGAAAAGCTAAATAATAATTATGTACACCTTTTCCCACTTAGCTACAAAATCGACTTAAAGACACACTTACGAACAGGTCTTGTTTGTAATCTGAGGACTGCCTGTGCTCACTAGAGTAGATTTTTCATGAGCAAATCTTTTATTAACAAATGCATATAAATTACCATTGTTTTAATATATTTCAAAGTTAGAAATTTGGATTCTCAAGCAAATTGTTCCAATCCTCTGTTTTTACTTTTTTTTTTTTTTTTTATGGCTAAATAGCAAATGAACAGATTCCATTACCATTGCAAGGTAAGAGTTATCTACAGACTCAAACTCTGCAGGGGATTCTCCTTCATGAAATGAATCTTCAACTAAGAGATTAATTCTGAAAATTAAAAATCCACTACCATGGAGTTATTCTGACTCATAGAGACTCCCACTGGGTTTCCAAGACTATAAATCGTTACAGAAATAGATTGTCTTATCTTCCTTCTGCAGAGCAGCTAGTGGGTTTGAACCACCAACCTTATGGTTAGCAGCCAAATGTCTTTCCACCAGAGCTTCTTGTCTCCAGCACAGTAGCTCTAATTTTTCTTAGTATAACCAGTACTTCCCACTCTGCCCACCACACTGTGGGTAATAAGTGTTGTTGAAGGAATGAAAGAGGAAACACGAGTTTGTACCTGAAGCCTTCTTTTTCTCTGTAGTGCTCTGAAATATTTCCACTAGGAGGCAGCACATCACTTTAGTAAGAGATCCCCCGTGGGGAGGGGGGTGTCATGCTTAATTGATACCATCTGAAATATGCTAGTTCCAGGCATTTCATTTGAAATAGAAAGAAGAGATGATGTTCTTATATTGACTTAATCTAATACTTTAATGGTTCCCAAGCCAATGATGCATTTAAATATTATCTCTTCCTAGAACTTCAAAACATCTAATAGCAGTGAAATGGCTGGAAATAAGTTCTCAATAATAATTAGATGGTATTGTGGATGGTGAAATTTGATTGAAATTATTGTTACTATCTTTAACAGTCATGATGATAATACATGACTTGTAATGATACCCTGCAATTCAAGGATTGATCAGCCAGCAAATGCAAGGTGTTTTTATGAAAACTGGCATTCATGAACAATTAAACATATTCCAACTGCTTGGTTCTCTCTTTTTTTCCCTTTTGCCTCCTTTTTACATAATCAGATCACAGGCTATTGAGTTTTCACGGGAAGTTTCCATTTTGAAAATTATCATACCTTTCCAGTGTCAGCCAGGTATAATGAGGGAGGGTTTCTTTTGCTATTTGAGATCAATTTCACATAGCTATTTCTGCATCCAGTGCACAAGAGCTTTGCTAATTCCAAGTCTGTTCTCAGCAATCAAACATGTGAATTTTAACTGAATTTTGCACTAGATTACAAGTTCTTACTCTTTTCCCTAGAAGAAAATTGATTTGTTTCCCATTCGAAACAAATCATTCATTTTTTTTCCCCACGTTTTTTAATCTATCTCCCTTCCTATAATGTTAAACTTTCTTGAACACATTTTACCAATTGAAATTTGCTTTTTCAGCAAGGGCAGCAAAGTAATGATACAGATAGTCAGCAAGAACATTTTTCACATTTAAAAGATAAAATTAACTGCAGCACTGCCTTTGTAACAAGATCATGTGTCCAAAAGTGTTATCACTGTATACTAGGAAAAGTCTGGTTGTAGAAAAGTGCAACTCATCCACCTGTAATGTTATGACACATGCCCAATAAATTTATTGTGTCACCTACACCACAGTGGTAATCACAAATATCAATTTACTCTTTGAGCATCTCACATTTTGATTTTTAGAGATTTTAAAGGGCTTGTGTGAAACTGTTTATGAAAAGAAACTACAACAAAGTTTTGCTAAGCCAGTATGTTTTAAATTTTTAAAATCCAGGACCTCGTTTTATTTCTAAAAATTTACGAAGCCCATTTTCTGGTTTAATGTTACTTTCCTAGATTGAAAGTATGTTTAATCTTTTATTTCTTCCTTTTGTCTTCTTTCAAAGGATAGTTTTGTTTTTTTCCTTTTCAGTTTATCCTTTATTTTACTCCTCTCTGCCTTTCCCACATTCTAATGTGGAAACTGTCATCTCAGTTAAAATTAAAGCATTTTCTTAAAAAATAGGTGTACATATATTAATGTTACCATTTTCCATGAAGTAGTAGCTCTGGTCAATACATGATCAGCCTTCCAAAGCACAAAATGCAACACACTAACCACATATTTTCCCTCTGCACAATAGCATCAGATTTCCAACACAAAATATCTGACCCTTACTCCCAAAGCCCCATCTCCTGCACAAAGCAAACTCTAACCTTCATGTTCTATTACTGCGGTTAGTAATATTTTGAGTGATTTTGCTTTCTTTATACTTTTCTATATGTTTTGAAATTTTCACAGTGCATAACATTGTTTATGATTATTGCAGAAATAAAAAGAGCACTGAACAAAATCATCTTTATTAATTCAAAAAAAAAGTCTGTCTACGTTTTTTATTTGCACACCAATCTTCAGCCAGTAGAATTGTTAAGCTGCCCTATGAGCCTTACCAGTTTCATAGCGGTATTATCATAAATTGCACCACTTATCAGATTTTAATAACATGGAACAAAGCAATGATTGGCTGTTTGTAAAAATCTTTGCTTTCCTGTCTTACACATCTAACTCCCACTAGTTTGAATTTCACACCAATTCTATTTTAGTTTCACTTTTTAGTATGGTGTTCAGTAGAAAAGATAGAGGATTTTAGCAGTATCTTCTCTATATTTGGGGAGCTCTGGTGGCATAGTGTCTAAGGCATTTGACTGCCAACCAGAAGGCTGGCAGTTCAAACCTACCAGAAACTCCTTGGAAGGAAGGTTGGCCAATCTACTTCTGTAGTGATACCACCTCGGAAACCCAAGGAGGGGTAGCTATGAATTGGATATGACTCCACGGTGGTATTTATTTATTTTTTTTTCCCCTGTATATTTGTACAAGTAATTAATTGTTGCAGATAGTCATGGCTCTTGTCTGCATTCTGGCAGACATGAGTATATGTAAGACTTTTTTGCCACTGGGAGATAAATAGGATATTTGAAATCTGTGTCTGCCTTTACGACATCTATGACATTAAGCAAGTTTCTTGACTGCCTTTTGCTTCTTTTCTTTTATCTCTGAAATGAGTAGAATAGTGACTCCTTTACTTACTTCAAAGAATATTTGAAAGGTAACATGAGATAATTGATGGGAAGTGTTTTGCAAAGTTAAAAGTAGCATATATAATCCTGGGCAGTCAAGCTTATTTTAGAATCAAGGGTTTGTTCAACACTGGGTTTTGTAAGCAAAAGCTATCATCTTTGGTACTGCCCACAACACCTGCAACCAGTGTGGCCAAACAGATTGGCTGCTACTTCAAAGGGCAGCAGAAAATTATAAGGATAGCAGGTGTTACAAGAATGAAGACTAAAACACTAATCCAGAAATGCATGGTGAAAAAACAGCCATAATTTCTTGAATCACTTTCTTGGCCTGGGCGGGTAAACCTTAATTTACCATGTGAATTGTTTTGTATTTTTAAAAAATGTAAAGTAGGTTATCTATGATTTTCTTAAAATATCAATTTGTAAGAAATTCACTAATTCTGGACAGCTGAGAATAGAGTATTTTAAACTTTGTTGAGAAAAAAATAAATCTCCAAAGATTAAGAACAATTCTTTTCTCATTAAATTACAGCAAAAATAAAACCCATTGAGAAAAGGGAACACACACAAACACTCACTATTATATTGGCTCCTTTGAAATGACATCTGTCTTAACCTCCATTTTCACAGGTGGAAAGTATTGGAGTTAGGGCGCTCTGAGACTGCCATTATTGCCATTGAATTTTCTCTGAATTAAGTTGAATTAAGTGGTGCTCGAGGGACATTAGGGGTTTCTCTTTTCTTAGGTCTTCTGTTCAGCACCTGGATAATCTCAGATTGCCTTGGTAACCAGACCAAACCCTTAATGTTGAAAAGGATGATTGATGCTTATTGATTTACAGTAGTTTGGCTGAATTGCTATTTTTCTCACCATATAGATGACTTTCCGAATTTTCTTTTTTCTACTAAAGTACTATAGTGAACTTTTTGTAACACTCCCAGGTATACATAGAGGTTTATTTTTTCTATCATTTTAAGCTTCCTCTCATATTTCCAGGCCTCTTTGTGAGGTTGTCCCCTCTAGGGAAAGTCTTTGCATCTGTGAGAGAGATGACATTGGCAATGGCTTCTGAAACATGTACTTGATTGCTCTGTAGATAGAGGTCAGGCATTACCAGAAGTAACATGATCTGTTAAAAGAACACTTTCTGGATAATCAAATGACCTGAGTGCTACACAGAGCTCCAGCTTCTACCTTGAGACCTGGTCCATGTAACTTATCTGTGTCTTAATTTTTCCAGTTCTAAAATATTTTTGGCATATGACTGCTAACCAGAAGGCTGGCTGTTCAAACCCACCAGCCACTCCTCAGAAGGAAGGTTGGGCAATCTACTTCCGTGGTGATACCACCTCAGAAACCCAAGGAGGGGTCACTATGAGTTTGGTCTGCCTCAATGGCAGTGTGTGTTGTTGTGGAATATTTAGAGAGGACTTACTTGAGATAATCCTGGAGAAAACTTGATCTTTGTAACATTTTAGCTTAAAGCAACACTGTGTTTTGTTATCATTGTTATAACAACTATTTAGATTTCTTTTTCTCCCTTGCTTTTAGCTCCTTGAGTACCGTGTCTTATATGGATGAACCTAGCCAGCGTGATGATGCCTCTCGCCTTACAGTCCAGATGGAAAACACCTATCAGTTAGGTCTGTTATTTTATCACTCACCCCTGTTTGAAACTTCTAGTTCGGTTGCTGATGCTTATACAAATAATACCTGGTAATCTGATATTATCTTTATTCCTAGCAAAAATAAAACCAAACCAGTTGCCATTGAGTCAATTCCAGCTCACAACAACTCCGTCTGTACAGAGTAGCACTGTACTCCGTAGAGTTTGCAAGGCTGTGACTTTTCAGAAGTAGCTCTCCAGGCCATTTTTCTGTGAGACTTCTGGTTGGTCCTGAACCACCAACCTTCCAGTTAGTAGTCAATTGCTTAACATTTGTCCCACCCAGGGACTCCTGGCACAAAATAAGGGATCTTAGTATATTTAGTAATTAGAGGCTGCTTTAGTTTTTTCCTCTCCAAAATGAGACTAACACCCATTAACTGCTTTTCTTTATCACTGTTTCCTAAATACCAAGCAATGTAATAGATGTCACTGATGTTTATTGGGTATTTCTGAATTAAGAAGTTCATTAGATATTTCAGGGTTATCTTGTGGAGTTAATTGATAGACTGATGCCACTCTATGTGCTGGACTTAAGGGAAAAATCTACTTATTGAAGTTTAATCCAATAAAACCAAAAAATATTGTTGATAGGTGGAGAAGAAGAAAACTTCAAGGCAAATGATTCATGATCCCCTGTTGACAGATGCTTATCCCTTTCCACTGAGGTTTTGGGTTTTGAAAACAAAGATCTTTGCACCTGCCCCTATACTCCCAGGTAGAGTCTGTGGCAAATAGCTTTCCAATTCATGTTTCCTCATAGAGTTATTTGTTTCTACAAATGCAGACCTGCCAACTATTATCTGAATCCATATGTAATTACTGCTATGTTGAAATTCTACAGAGACTTGCCATGGACCAGAGTTAGACCCTATGGGGCATGGTAGTTCCATCTGTGGCCAGTTAACCCAGAGAAAATTATAGACCATGAACACATCCCATTAAACCTTGTAGCCAGTTTTCTACAGTAATCCCCAAGACAACATGGATTAGAAGATGTCATAATTAGCTAATCTACTGGTATTTTCAGAGGATCTATGGTGGACATCTATTATTTCTGTCATCCTATACACTTTTATCCTCATGCTAGTAACTACCCAGTTTCCTTTAGGGAAGGAAGCCACACCACCACCATCCTCACTACTTTTGTTTCATGCCATTCTGGTGAAGCACAGACTTTATTCAGAAATGGATCAGTGGATGATTCTGAGATGGCAAGATGTGTTAAATCATTTTTAGACAGTTTTCTGTGTGTTTTTTGTACCATCCAGGTCTTTGCTTTTTGATTTTCAAAAACATTTTTTCCTCCTTAGGGAAAAAAGAAGTCTCTCTGAAAAAAAGTTTTAGCATTTTTATCACTTCACTCAGAAAGTAGCTTCAGAAACTTATTTTGGAAGTCAAAATCTATTTCCCATATCCTGGTCGGACTTCTCCAAGGGATAAATAAATAGTGTTTTGGTTCTCTGATGCTGCTATAATAGACATACCACAAATGTATGGCTTTAACAAGCAGATGTTTATTCTCTTACAGTTTAGGAGGCTAGAAGTCTGAGTTCAAAGTGTCAGCTCTAGGGGCTGGGTGAAAGCCCCTCAACCTTGGGCTTCAGCTCTACCTCTTGCTCCTGGCCCTAAAGCTGGAGGCTTCTCTTAACTCTGCTGGTTGCTGAGGATGACAAACTCAAGGTTGACAAATAAAATGGCATAGTCCCAAATTTATTGAACAACATGGAAGGCCACTAGTTAAACAGTCCCAAGATTGGTAGACAACATGGCAGGCCATTGAGATGAAGACTCAGCCAAATTCAGGATCCAGATGTGCCAGAAGCTAGAGACCTTCCTCAAAACTTCTTCTTATATACTTGAAGTAGACCACATCCCTAAGGCAGCTACTGAACTGCTCACAGTAGATTCCACCATGAAGTTGATTACCAATCTCATCATGGGGAATACTACATCCAGCTGTCCAGCCACTCAAAACTAGGCCCCACCAAGCTGACACACAACTTAACTACCACAAATAGGTAGCTGCCATCAAGTCAACTGTAACTCATGACAACCTTATGTACAACACAAAAAATGTTTCCTGGTCCTGCCTATGCCATCCTCACAATCAGCATATTAAAATCCATTGATGTAGGTGTTACACCAATCTATCTCACCAAGGCTCACCCTCACCCTCACTGGCTCTCTACTTCACCAAACATGGTGTCCTTCTCCAGCAACTGATCCCTCCTGATGATGTTTCCAAACAAGTCAGAAAATGTTCTGTTATTATGCATAAGGATTCCTTTGGCCAGTTTTCAGAAATAGATTGTCAATTCTGTCCATCATGAGTGTACTTGCTGATAGATTTTCCAGCATCATAGGAACACACGAGCCACCACAGCATAACAAATTGACATATGGGTGGTGTGGTGTTGCTAGGTGCTGTCAAGTTGGTTCTGACTCACAGCAACCCTATGTACAACAGAATGAAACACTGCTCACTCTTGTCTCATCCTCACAACTGTTGCTATGTTTGAACCCACTGTTGCAGCCACTGTGTCAATCCATCTTGTTGAGGGTTATCCTCTTTTTCACAGACTCTCTACTTTACCAAGTATAATGTTTTCCAGGAACTGGTCTTTCTTGTGAACATGTCCAAAGTACATAAAAAGAAGACTTGTCATCCTTGCTTCTAAGGAGCATTCTAACTATACTTCTTCCAAAACAGATTTGTTCATTCTTCTGATAGTCCATGGTATATTCAATATTTTTCACCAACACCATAATTCAAAAGCATGAATTCTTCTTCAGTCTTCCTTATTCATTGTCTGGCTTTTATATGCATATGAGGCTATTGAAAATGCCATGGCTTGGGTCAGGTGTACCTTAGTCCTCAAAGGAACATACTTGCTCCTTAAGACTTTAAGAGGTCTGAGGGGAGGGGAGAGAATACTGTTAGATAGATAGAGATAAGTTTTGATTTGGGTAAATAGAAGGGCAATGTACCAAATGTGAGTGATCAATATAGTGGCATTGAGGAAGAGAAAGACATAGAGAGGTACGTGGGAAGTACAGACAACAAAGATGAACCCTTTTGCATATATAGTATGGCGTGGTCAGTGAAGGCAAACATGGGTATATGGGTGGATAGATGGGTGGATAGGCTGAACCATTAGGTATGTCTATGAAGTGGGGAGTGTACCCAAGAACATGGACAGGGTTGGCAGACAATGGTCCTATAACTTCATGTGTATGATCTGAATTCCCAGGTGTATAGTGGAACTGACAAGGGGCAAGGTTGTGGTCACTGCTTGGTCACAGGCAGCTACCCCGAGGGACCAAGTACTTGAACCTGTGGGCTCGCGACCATAGTCACAGAGGACATCAACCTCAATTGGCATAACATACTACACAAAAAACATACTATTCCACCTCCTACTGTAGTGAGTAGCAACTAGGATCTTAAAGCTTGTAAGCTGCCATCTAGATGCAACAATGGGTCTCTCCTCATCCAGAGCCAAGAAGAATGAAGGAAACCAAAAATTCATGGAAACAATTCGTCCTAGCAACTCGTATACCATCGGATCTGCAGCCTGTATGACTATGAGACCAGAAGAACTAGGTGGTGTCTGGCTACTACTGTCAACCACTCAGAAGAGGATTTATGTAGGAGATCCTGGATAGAGAGGGAGAACAATGTGGAACAAAACTCAAAATCATTTGAAAAAAAAAAAGGGGGGGATCAGGTTTGCTGGTCCGATAGAGCCTGGTGGAACCACTGAGACTATGGCCCCTAGCTGCCCTTCAGGTCTGGAATTGAACACACACCTGTGGTTTCCAGCCAAACAAAAGACAGGCATATGAGCTGAACATTTACCTCAAGTAGATACACTCCTTGGAGAGAACAAGCATGGGAGAAAGAAGGGCTGCTTATGCACAGGGAGACAGCTCAGGGGGCAGGAGTGCATGGAGGGATGGACACAGGGAAGAGGTAACTATTGGGAGGAAGTGGGAGGGGAGATGTTGCATTGTGGTAAATTGTGGTCAGTGTCATGGGACAAAGTGTATGTGAACTGCTGTATGAAAAATGTATTTGCTCTGTAAATTTTCACCCAAATCACAATAAAAAGAAAAAAAGAAAAGATTTTAAAAGGTCTTTTGCAGAAGATTTGCCTGATGCAATACATCATTTGATTTATTGACTTCTGCTTCCACAAGCATTGTTTGTGGATCCAAGGCAGTGAAATCCTTGATAACTTCAGTCTTTTCTCCATTGATCATGATATTTCTTACAAGGAGGAGCTATGAGTCGGGGTCGACTCGACGGCACATAACAACAACAAGAACAACAACAGTTACGAGGATTTTTGTTTTCTTTATATTGAGGTGTAATACATATTGAAGGCTTTAGTCTTTGATCTTCATCAGTAAGTGCTTCAAGTCCTCTTCACTTTCAGCAAGCAAGGTTGTGTCATCTTCATATCCCAGTTTGTTAATGCATCTTCCTCCAGTCTTGCTGGTTCATTCTTCTTCATACAGTCCAGCATCTCATATTTGTTGCTCAGCATACAGATTTAATAAGAATGGTGAAAGGATACAACCCTGACACACACCTTTCCTGATTTTAAACCATGCACTTTCCCCTTGTTCTATTCAAACAACTGCTTCCTGGTCTGTGTACAGGCTCCACATAAGCACAATTAAGTTCACAATTCTTCACAATGTTATCCGTAATTTGTATGATCCACAAAGTCAAATGCCTTTGCATCATCGATAAAACACAGATAAACATCTTTCTTTTATTGTCTTTCATCCAGATTCACCTGAAATGATATTCTTCATTCCACATCCTCTTCTGAATCCAGCTTGAATTCCTGGCAGTTCCCTGTCTATGTACTGTTACAACCATTTTTTGAATTATCTTCTGCAAAATTTTACTTCCTTGTGATATTAACAATGTTGTTGTAATTAGGTGCCGTCAAGTCGGCTCTG